CAGTTTCGGTGACAGAACAGTGTAATAAAGAACTTAAAAGGGGTGATCAAGAGAGACTAAAGCCCTGGGTTTTCGGTCAGGATGCGGAATATAAGCGTGGCTACCCCTGCACACATTTTTATTTTATTCCATTTCAAAGTATTCAAAACAATCTTCAAAACTATTTAAAAATTGAATTTTTTTTGGTAAATTTAAATGGGTGAAATATTCACATGGTTCAAAAACTTAAAACAATGTAAAGAGAGATACAGTGAAAAGTCTTCCATTCCTGTTTCAGATCCACTTCATTTCGTCCAGTCCAATTATAATATCTGCTGTTATTAGGTTCTTATATGTAATTAGGGGGATATTTTCTGTGCATATAAGTGAATATGAATATGTATTCTTATACTGTTTTACACTGTGTATGTGTGTGAACAAAACAGTGTATTTGGTGGAGACCCTTTTCTGTCAGACCTTGTAAAGTGCTTTCTGACTGTGGGTGTGCCCTAGCTTCTGTCACCGGGCAACTATTGATGGACATTGAGAGATTTCCAGCATTTTCTTATTAAAGACCATGCTGTAAACAGGTCACTTTGTACGAGATATTTCACATCTATGCAAGTACTTTATCTGTAGGGTAAATTTGCAGAAATGGAATGGCTGGGACACAGGAAAAAATATCAATTTAGATGTGCTTGATTTGGTGAGAGAATTTTAGCAGATGGAATGAAAACTTACATGTTAAGATTTTTTGTGTTGGAAATTGAACTCATTTAAATCCAAAGATGATTTAGTTGCTTTTCGAGCGTTAGTACATTTGAATATATCCAGTAGGCTAAAAAAGGTAGTAATTGGCCATTGCTTAGGAGGCTCTGTACTGGACCAAGGCAGAAACAAACAAGAAAGGGAACAACAGAAGCCAAAAAAGACATTGTAACTGACACTAGATTTCTGGGCTGACAGAAATTTGGTGTCCCTGGTTTAGAAACATAGCTATTTGATCCCCTACATTATCTAAAACCCAGTCACACATTTGCTTATTATTTCTGAGCTGAGGGATGGCATTGGTACATTAAACTGTCTGGTAGCAAATGTAATCTGGGGATTAGTGGGTCCAATCCCCTATGTGTTTGACCTTGAACATCTGATTGGATTTTTTTCTAAGGTTGGCTTTCATGTGCTCACCCCATTAGCTGAAGGGTTATATCCACCTTTGTGGGTGTCAAGTGCCTTCCCCCGTCCCTCGGGAAGGTCAGAGCTGTGGCAGCCTGGGTTTTGGAAGAGGAAACTCCCTGTTTTAGAGACAGGCATCAATACTAGAAACCTGTTTCCAGATTTCAGAGGTCACCTTGTACAATCCTCCGTTTTTTTTTGCATTGTCGTTTATTGCAATTCATGGAAACATCAAACTACTTAAAATCCTCAGTCAAGTAGAAAATACAAAATTGTTGATTGAACAGCGCCTAGAAAAATAAGTTTTGACCAGTTTTGAACTTTATGGCTGGAGGGCACGAAGGCCATGATTGAAACCAGATCTGTGTGTCCTCCGTGACGGGGTTTGGGACTACTTCCAGTGCCCGTGGTGTGTTAGGGCCAGTGCACGAAGGAAGACCTACCTGCTTTTAATATGACTTCAGGCTTTAAAAAATTTTTTTTAATCTTACACAGTGAAATACTACATTTCAGCATAATTTAAAGCTTACTGAAGGTCAGAACAAGGCACATTAGAAGGTACGATTTGCAAAGTTGATTGTTTATCTAGGAAGCAAATTCACATTTCATATATAGTTTCTTTTAATTTTTATTTTCCTCTTTAAAAATTATAGGCATAGCTCAAACTTTAATGTAATATATAGTAAAATACATATTTTTTTTCCTAATTTTTAAAATCTTACCTTTATGACTTTACTTGTTACTTCAAACGTTAAATGTTACTGATGCAAGGAATCACACCTTGAATTCTGATTATGGAATTGAGTATTAAATTGTGGATATATTATAAGTTCTCAAAAATCATAAAAGGCTTTGTTATTTGAAAAGAAAACAGGTAGTTAAATTTTGACAAACATATACGTTCAGTAAAATGTCTTTCTTTTTTTTCTAGGAAGTTTCAGTATACCAAATTTTGTTGACTCTTCTAACTATGCTAAAGGTATTTCCAGAAACGATTCCAAATCTGTTTTTTAGTTTTTTTTCTGGAGTTTTCATTATGTGGGTGTGATTGATTACATCATTGTTCACTGATGATTTGAACTCCACATCTAGCTTCTCTCTCCCCAGAGATGGGTGGAAGGAAGTGCCAGGTGCAGAAAGTTGCAACCTTCTAATCACAGGGTTGTTTTTTCTGGCAACCAGACCCCGCTTCTCCAGGAGTCACCCTGTGAGCACAAACTCCAGTGTGGTTCAAGGGGGCTTACTATGAATAACAAACTGGGTTCCTATCATTCAGGAAATTCCAAAGGTTTTAAGAGCTCTGTGCCAGGAACTGGGGATAAACGCCTAAAATCTATTTTTCATTATGTTCTCCCTATTATATATACTGACTTTCCACCATGCCTGGTTAAAGAAAACATTATTCTGACACTTGGTAAGTAAGGCTTTTTTCAGCACTGTCAGGATATCTGTCAAGACTATCACTAAAGGGAAAGAAATGAGGCTCGATTTTGAATATAGCGATGCCGGTTGGGGCTTCAGAGCTCATGAGCATAATGAGAGGCCAGTGGATGGAAAAGAGGCATCGAGGCCCACGGGATTCTTCAGTGGCGACGGAAGCCCCATATGGAAGCACCAGCTGTAAACATGCTCTCCATTTACCCTAAGATGCTATGAAACTCTTATCTTCTGTCTGATGTGACGTTAAAAACAATGGTGGAAGAGAGTGCACTGGCCCACTGTATTTCGAGTCAGACAAAGCTGGGAGTAAGTCCTACCTTTGCCACTTACTAGCAAAGTGGCCTTTCTGAGCTTCCTTTTTATCATCTGTTTTCAGGATTGAATTATGTCATGAATGGGACACATTGAATTCTTAAATATTTCTAGCTCAACAAGCAAAATGAATAAATACTTGTATCTCTTTATACAGCTGATGCCATCTTTGGTCCTTTCTCCATGCTTAGGTCCCCTTCTTTGAATTATTGACCAAGTGTAAATGAATCAGGGGTCTTTGGCTAGAAACAAATGACAATTATTTAAGGGTAACAGGGTTTGCAGATCAGAAACACAAGTAGGCAATACCCAGAGTCCTCCAAAGAAGAAAGAAAAGCTAAGAATTCTAACAGTAAAATGTACACACTTGAGAAGAATCAGTCCTGCATTCTCAGGATTCGTGCGAGATGATAATTTTACAGATGTCCAGTGGTCTGGATAATGGAGGCAGGTGGTCAGATATGTGAACATCGTTCCCAAGTCCTTCAGGGGATAATCTATGGGATTGACATATCTGTATCTATCTATATACCTAGAAGCATCTGTCTATCTATCTGTCTATCTATCTATCTATCTATCTATCTATCTATCTATCTATCTATCTGTCTATCTTCAGGCATAACTGGAGAATTTAAGAGTTGAACTTCTCAGGCTAGTGAAAACAAGAGTAGACTCATTTTTTTCGTGCCTCAGCCTGTCTTGTTTTAGTAATTTAGCAGCTTGACCACGGTGACTCCATTTTATTTCTTCACTCTTTCCCTCAGAACTTAGGTATCTCGTGGTCAGTCTGGAGGGATCGGTCCATGTACGCATTCATTCGGCAGTCAGTCCGTCACCTATTTGTGTACGTCTTATACAGCCAAATGCTATAGGCAATAATGCGAGGAAACTGTATACTAATATTTTCCAAGAGCTGGAATCTGCACATAGTAGGCGCTTAGTGCATGTTTGTTGAATGAAGAAACAGATGCTACCTAAGAGGACAATTTATGTTGTGGTGAGAAGAGTATCTTAGCCCACTCGGGCTGCTGTAACAAAATGCCACAAACCGCGTGGTTATAGACAACAGAAATATATTTCTCACAGCTCTGGAGGCTGGAAGTCCAAGGTCAGCAGACCTGAAGAGTTGGTGTCAGGTAAGGGTCCGCTTCCTGGTTCATGGGTGGCCGTCTTCTCGCTGTGCCCTCACGTGGCAGAAGGGGTGGAAGCGCTCTGGGGGGTCTCCTATACAAGGGCAGTAATCCCCTTCGTGAGGGCTCCAGCTTTATGATCCAGTGACCTTCCTAAAGCCCCATCTCCTAAGCCCGTCATGTTGGGGGGTAGGATTCCAGTGTACCGTGTGCTGGGGACACCGCACTTTAGCAGAGAATTCCAGTCGAGTTGCGTGTGAAGTGCTGCGTGAGTCCCAGGGTGGGCGTGATGGGTTCTCCTACTCCCGCTTACCCCATTGAGGAGCGGGACAGCCACACATAAAGCGTGGCGTTTAAAGTGGTTGAATCTTAGAGATGTGTGCAATTGAATTCATGAAAATCATGTCACAGGTAGAGAAAAGTGCATTAGCAAAGCCATGGTCCCCTGGGTGATCCCTGTCACTTGTGAGGAGGGAAGATGTGGTTGGGAGGTCAGCCAGGGCTTTTAATGGCATCCTGAAGTATCAGTCCGTGAAGGGATAAGTCTTGGAGAGCAAGGCAGGGTGATGAATAGAGATGCCAGCGCCTTGTAACACTGAGCTGAGAATCCTTTCTGGCTTTTCCTTGCTATTTGATCAGCCTTTCCGGGGGTTCCAGAAGGTCCCAGGGAACTTATTTTTATGTTCGTGTGTGTTTGTTAGCTAGTCCATTCCCCTCTGTTAGGATGGGCAATTGAGACTTGACTTTGTAGAGACGTGGTACAGGCATTTTCCCCACTGTACTGGTGAAGAGTTATTGATGAAATGGGAAATATGTCATTACTGGAAAAAAAATTGCAACAATCTAATAGTCCCTATTTCTATAGTTGATTTCATGCCATAATAGAGCTAACAAAAACTCGCAGCCTCTAGAGGTCTAAGTCATACACTTCATGGTTATCTGTGTTTTTTTTTCTCTCCACAGAAATAGAAAAGTTTCAAAAAGGAGAAGGAAAGGACGAAGAAAAGTACATTGATGTGGTGATTAATAAGAACATGAAGCTGGGACAGAAAGTGTTAATTCCTGTGAAGCAGTTTCCTAAGGTAAGACAGCAAGGCCTGCACTGCAGGTGTGCGAGTTTAGTCACAAGGGAGGAAACCTTTCATCTCTTGTATTTGCTATTTTCTTGAGGGGTTTTGCCTTAGTACAGCTCCACCCCCCCAGCCCCGCCCCCATAACAGACTTTTACAGGTAATTAAAAACTCAGTTAGTGATTCTGTCTTCTGTTTGACTTTAGTGTGAGTTATGGAGCCCTAAAAGGTTATGCTTACGATGTCAACTGTAACTATATATATATATATATATATATATATATATATACATACAGGATGTGTAGTACAGCATAGGGAATAGAATCAATGGAATTGTAACATTGTAACAGCTATATACCATGTCAGAGGGGTAGTAGATTGGGAGAGGGGGGTTATCACTTTGTGAGGGGTGTAAATGTCTATCACATTGTTTTGTACACCTGAAAGTAAAAAAAAAAAAAAAAAATTATGCTTACGGGCCATACTAGCAGTGTTACTTTGGGCAACCTTTTTAACTTCTGTCTACTTTAGTTTTTCATTTGTAAGAGAGGTTGGATTAAGAATTAAATAAGATTATCCATGTTAAATGCTTAGCATAGGGTTTAGCACATAAATGTTCAAAATATTATTTCTTCTAATTATTCTACAAAAAGAGTTCTGTTTTTCATTCGTTGCAAGTATTATTTTGTGTCATGGAGCACAGTTACAAAAGGTGCTTTAAAGCCTCTAATTCTAAAATCCTGATCATCTGAGATTTGGCCTGAATTGATACTCCTTTTACCTTGTTTTTTTTGTTTTTTCCATACATACTGTTGTATATATCAGTAGTTCATGTCTTTTGACTGCTGAGTAATAGTCCGTTACCTGATTATACCACAATTTATCCATTGCCTGGCAGTTTGGGGTTATTATAAATTAAATCTCTGTGAATATTTCCCAGCAGGTCATCGTGTGGCCAAGTTTTATTTCTTTTGAGTAAATACCTAGGGTTTAAATTGCTGTGCATTTAGTTTTACAAGAAGTTGCCGTACGATTTCCCCAAAGTGGGCGTACCTGTGACATTTCCAGGAACAAAGCACGCAGTTGTGTTGGGTCCATGTCTTCATCAGCCTTTCGTATTGTCAGTCTCTTTAATTTTAGCCATTCTGCTAGTGTATTGGTGTTTCCTGTGGTGTAAATTTGCATTTTCCTGATGATTAATGACTTTGTGTACTTTTTCATGTACTTATTGGCCATTTTAGTCTTCTGTTGGGAAGTGTCTTTTTAGATCTTTCCCCTATTTCTAAATAGGCTGTATGTCTTCTTATCATTGAGTTGTAGGAGCTTTTTTATATACCCTGGGTACAAACCTTTTGTTAGTTATGTTTTGTGAATATTTGGCTGAGTCTATGGCTTGCCTACTATTTTCTTAACAGAGTCTATGATAAGCGGTTTTTATATTTCATGATGTCTAATGTATCAAGTTTTTCTTTTATGATTACTGCTTTTTACCAACTAAGAAATCTTTGCCAACCTCAAGGAAACGAGTCCTGTATAAAATATAAAGATAGTCTCCTGTGTTTCCTCTAAAAGCTTTATCATTACAGTTTTTACCTTTAGGTTTATGATGCATCTCAAAGTAATTTTTGTGTGTGGTGTGAGATAAAGGGTCAAAATTCCTTTTTTTCCCTCCGCATGACTATTCAGTTTTTCCAGTACCGTTTGTTGAGAGATGTTTTCTTCTCACTGGTTGTGCTGGCACCTTTGATGAAAATCAGACGACTATGCGAGTAAGGGTCCACTTCTGCACTTTCTTTTTTATTTCATTGATCAGTGTATTTATGGATCTTTATGCTGGTACAATACTGTCTTTATTACTGTATTTTATTTATGGTAAAACATGAAGTTAAGTAATGTAGTCCCTTCAACTTGATCCTCCTTTCTCAGGATTTCTTGGATATAGGCCCATATAAATTTAAGCATTATTAATTTTCCCAGAACATTCTGCTGGGATTACGATTGCCATTGCATTGAATCTTTTGATCAATTTAGGGAGATCTGACATCTTAATATTGAGTCTTCCCTTCCTTGAACTTGGTGTATAGATATCTTTCCATTGATTTAGATTTTTAATTTCTATCAGCTTTTTGTACTTTTCAGGGTAAAGGTCTTATTTGTCTTTTGATAAACTTATTCCTATGTATTTTGTGTTTTTGACACTGTTGTAAAATGAATATTTTACTTTTTTTCCATTTTTCTGCTTCTAATATAAAATTTTGTGTATTGACCTTGTATTCTGCTACCTGCTAAATTCACTTGTTACTTCTAGTAAGTTGTTTTATAATTCTTTAGGATACACTATGTACATAATCATATCATCTGCATAACCAGTTTACTTCTTCCATTCCAATTTGTATGCTTTTTAATTATTTAGCTTGCGTTATTGTATTAGCAGAGATCGCTAGTATAAAGCTCAAATACAAGTGGAGAGATTAGGCGTTCTTCCCTTGTTCCTAATCCGTGGGGAAGGCATTCAGTATTTTACCATTAAGAATGTAACAGCCATAGAACTTTCATGTAGATGCCCTTTATTAGGTAGAGGAAGTTCCCTTCTATTTCAGTTTTGCTGATTTGATCCTGATGGAGTGGTGAAGTTTATTAAATGCTGTTTCTGCATCTATTGAAATGAACACAGGGTGTTACTCTTTTATGCTGTCAATATAGTGAATTTTATTGATTGATTTGTCCAAATTAAACCAACTTTGCATTTCTGGATTAAACCCTACTTGGTAATGATATGTTATTCTTCTTATATATTTTTGGATTCAGATGCATCTATGTTCATGAGTAACACTGGCCTGTATTTTTTTTTTTTTAATGTAATACTTTTGTCAGATTTTGGTGTTAGTGGTATATGCTAGTTTCATAAAGTGAGTAGAGTATTTCTTTCCTGTTTTATCTTTCAAGGAATGTGTTTTAGTTCGGTGCTATTTCTCCTTCTTCAGCATTTGCTAGAAATCATCAGTGAAGCTATCTGGGCCTGGAATTTGATAATGTGTTCAGTGTGTTTAATTGACTTGTCACTAATCAGATTTTCTATTTCATCTTTTGTGAAATTTTTGTGTGTCTGTATGTGTTTTGCAAGGGACTTGTCCATGTCATCATAATATTTCAGCTATTGCTTTTTCAGATAGCTTTTTTGACCTTATCTCTCCCGATCTTTTGAGACTGCTGTTACACATATGTTCAACCTTTTGATATTCTCAGAAAGGTTCTGGTGGCTCTGTTCACTTTTGTCCTTAGTTGTTGGTTTTTCCCCCTCTTATTCTCCAGATTGGGTAATTTCTACTGCTGTATCTTAAACTTACTGATTCTTTCTTATGCTGTCTTTATTTTCTGTTAAACCCATCAGATCAAAATTTTATATCAGGTTTTGTAATGATCTGTTGAAGAGTTTATATTTGATTTATATTTAAATATGTGTACGTGAAAAAATATTTTTTCTCTGCTGGGGCTTTCTATTTTTTATTCATTGCAGGTATTATTTTATGTCTCTGGATAAAGTTAAAATAGATGCTTTAAGCCTCTATCTAATTCTAAAATCTTAATCACCTTAGATTCTACCTGAATTGATAATCCTTTCTCTTGATAACAAGTCATATCCTTCCAGTTTTTTGTCTGTTGAGTAATTTTGGGTTGTATACCGGACATTGTTGAGTATTATATTGTAGAGACTCTGGGTTCCCTTCTGTTTCTTTGAAGAATGTTGGTATTTTGGTATTCAGACTGCAGACTTTGTCTGTTGTTTGCAGGTCTCGGTTCAGTTCTTAGTTTGACTTTTGCATGTTTTTTTTTTTGATATACACGATTCAAGGGTCAGCCAGAGATTCTGGCAGATTTTACTCACAAACTTTGGAGCTCCCCAACTCTAACTGTGTTTTTCCTCTATTCCTTCCTTACATTTCAGCACTGTGGCTTCCTCAAACTCTGCTACTCAGGCAAAAAGCTCTAAAATCAGCAAATTCGCCCAGGTCCTTCCCTTTTTCCAAGTCTTGACTCCCTTCCAGAATCTCCTTGATTTTGATAATTCTCCACAGGCTTCAGAGAGTTGGTTTTTATATTTTGTTCAGAGTTTAATAGTTCATAATTGCTGTCTGTAGACAGTCGGTGTGTTAGAAGCTTACTCAGCCATACTTGCAGAATTGAGGATGTACATGTTTAGTAGCAGAAAACTATGTTGTGAACATTTTACAGACTCACTACTAAACAAAGGATGCTAATGGAAACCTCTACAAAACGGTCAGTGTGCTCAGCACACTCTGTATGCTCACTATGCAGCAGAGAGGAGGAGGAGGAGACCCTGCCCGACTTCCAACCGTTCATGATCCAGTAGATGATTACTCTATAATTAATAGCCTATTGTGTATAAGTATATGAGATAAAATCGCAAATATTGTTTTTCAATGTCAGCTTCGATGAGAGTAGGGGAAGACAAATTAAAATTTCTGTGTCTAACAGAGAGCAGAGTCCATTTCAAGTACTTATAATGTCTGAAGGAGGCTGCTTAGAAATCCATTGCTTTCCGAATGCTGAAAATGGATATTTCTGCTTAGCATAATTGAGCATGCAAGCCTCAAGCCAGCCTTGTATGAAAGGCTAATATCGCACTTTCATCAGTTCTGAGCAAAAGCTTTCATGCTGGTGTCACTTAATAGACTGAGCGGGAGAAGCTGGCAGTGCTTGGCCCTGTGGAATAGCGGTGGGCAGAGGGCAGCTTGATGTGGATTGATGCTGACGGGGCTCTTTCAGCTTCTGGGGCGAGACAGAGTGCTGTTTGTGAAACTGCATCCAATAAAGCGATCGCCATTAATTGAATAATTGCTCCTCTCTTCTTTCTGCATTCTATCAATGGCATGCCACTGAACGAGTGTTTTAGTGTTCAAACCTAAAGTATATTCACTCTCTTGAGCTGTATGTCTGAGCTTGTAAAGTGTGAGACTCAAAGTAAACACGGCTTTATGGGTTTTTTTAAA